TTGTGTGTGTGGATGATCATGCTGGCCTGGAGTCGCAGTACCTGAGACAAAGTAAGATGTCATCACATTGAAAATAGAGCAGCAAATAGAATTAGTATAGTTTCTGTTCCTTATTAATTAAACTTTCTGTTCAGACAGTGTGTTAGGTCAGGTGATCGTAAAATTATTGTTGTCCATCTTTTGCGGTAGAACAGTGTGCTGATTCAGGAGACCGTAAAATTATTGTCTCTTTTGCGGTAGGACAATCTGGCCGACGAATTTTCCTGTTTCTGTTCTCCAAAAATGTCTTACTTCTAAAAAAGTTTGCAACACTCTATTTTGACGAGATTCGTGACTACCTTTTTGTTTCTTATTCCAATCACACTTTCCATTGGGGAAGGTCCGTCTGCACTCAGGACTAAGGGACAGGCTGACGGAAAGAAAAAGAACTGTTGGCCTTGTGGAATCAATTTTTGACGGAAGTGCAGTTGTATGGACCGGATGCCGAGCAACACATCCGCGATAACTTTGATCTTCAGGGGGTTGGAGACCGTCTGAAAAAGTCTATCACGGTTGTGGAGGTTGTGGCAGCCGGTACAGAAGCTTCCATACTGATTGCTCAGGGGCGACAAGCACTAGACCAGTTTGCTTTGATCATAGTATCTACTCGGAAACGGGAAGCAATGCCAGATGTAAGTGAAGCAATGATTGATGCTAATATCCAGCAGCTAAGAGATACTTTGGCTGCAGAAGAAAGAAAGAAAGAAAAATGAGCCCGAAGAAAAGAACAAGAACAGAGAAGGGGACAGAAAGTTAGAGAGATCAAACAAGTCATTGGAACAGAAGTAGGAGAACCGACTGACATGTCACAAACGTTGTGTCACATTGTGACATACCTTACCTTTCTTGAAGAGAAATTTGACAGACAGCAAAATCAACTAGATGAGATTACTGTCGGATTGTGGACAATCGCAAACATTGTGATACAGGGTGGTGAAGAACAAGACGAGAAAGAAAAAAAGAAAGAAGTGAAGAAATTGATGGGAGATGCAATCAAGACTGCTCGTTCCGAGATTTAGACAACGCCCAATGGAAATGGACCCCCGACTCTGCCATCTTCTCCATCGCACTCTTCTCATTCTACTCCTTCTTCCAAGTCTTTTCCTAAGCCCACTCCTTAAAAGACAAGTTTTCAACCGGAAAAGCCGAAGAAGAAAGAAAAAGTGAAAATGAAGTTGCCTTTTACGTTTTGCAATAAGAAAGAAGGAAGTCTGTTGCTATGGATTGCTGAAATCCAAACGTACGTGAGCACTGCTCCGGTCGAGCCGGAGTCCTAAGTCGCGTTCACCACTTCTTGCATGGGTGGTGAGGCCAAGCAATGGGTGTTGGTCGAGGCCAATGCCGCTGGATTCGAAGACATCGGCGAAGGCGCAAACTGTGTCTCCGAAATCACGTTCGACGGGGGTTTCGAGTTGAACGGTTCAACTCCCGTTGAATTCTGTTTCAACTCCGCGTTACACCCCGTTACAACGTGGTTCAACTCGGCCCGCGGATATTTTTTTTGTAGGCGAAAAATAAGATTAAAAATATATATATATATGGGGGTGTAGCTTTTTTTGATCTCTACATCCCCATATTTTTATTTTTATTTTTTGATCATTTAAATTATTTTAAAAAAATCAAAAACAAAACCAGACTCAAAACACA